GGCAGCTCGTCGGCGACGTCATGCTCGGGGCCTCCTGGGTCCTCTTCCTCGTCTACTCTTGGAGGGAGAAGTACGACTGATTACTCTTCCTGGAGGTACTACTGCGCCTCCTCCTCCCCTGCTCCTTGCTGCTCCCTGTTTGTTTATTTGTCTTCTTTTGTTTTCGTTATTAGCACCGTCATCTCTTGTGGGCTATGTGTGTGTGTGTAGAGAGAGAGAGAGAGAGAGGGAGAGAGAGAGAGGGTAAATTGGTTTATCATGTCGTCGTGTATGCTGTGCGCTATCTCCCTTCCCTGTAAATAAGCTGGGCACTTTCCTTTGTGCTGTGAGCGTAAATTGATACAGAAATGAAAATAACTAAAACCTTGTAGCCTGCTGGGTGCACGCCCCCCCCTTTCAAATTGAACGGAGGATTTATGCGAACTTATTACTTTCCGTTGGCATCTCCCATCTGTTTGCTTGGCTAATAGGTGCGGCGATGGGCATGGCTTTATCCCACCGTACTGGAACTTGGGTTCTGCAGCTACTTCCGTCCTCGGTAGATACCACCAGAAGTTGCGATGTGTCAATTCAAATGACAAGGTAAAGGCTGAAATTCATTTTCAGATAATAGCTTATAGTTTCCTGCATGGCTTAGTGCTATGGTGTTTGCACTTATTTTTCTTCTTCCCTTATATGAATCCCTCTTGCATTTTGTTATTTCCTCATTGGAGTGCTCATTTATCCTTTTGAAAATATTGGGAATAATTTGGCAGTGATAAAGATAGGTTTATTTGTTCAATTAAAAGTTTTAACTATATTATGACTGTATGAGCGTGTAGAGTTCAGGCTACACACTCCTTTGAGAGATAAGGGTAATATTACCGTATCACTTCCAGGGTTCTATTACCAGTTTTGAAGTTCTATAAATTGACAAGAACATTGAACACCTAATATTTCTACTTTTATTAACAGCACGATCAAATTTTTTGGAAGTAAGCATACCACCTCTCTGTTAATACTTACTAAACAGTATATATCCTGCTTGGTCCAATGTGAGAAGTAACTATATGATAGTGTTAAAC